TTGAGCTAATTATAAATTCCCCAAAATTAGGTCTTGGTTTTCCCAACAATAGATAAATCCATCTGATTCAATGGTCTACTCTAGTTGAGTTTAAAGGACTCAAGCCTGGAACTCTCTTTAAATGCAGCTAGAAACCTTAAGGTTATGTTCATGCAATCCATTCTTCTCTTCACATTTGCACAAATACACCAAACAGCTTTGCAGCAGGAGCCAAGAGCAAATCCCAGTTTTCAATTTACTAAAAGCCACCACACCATAGCAAACCTACATTTGCCAGGGAAACAAAACCGGATCGTACCAAGAACTTTGCAAAGAGACCAACAGTTGCTGAAGTGATGCTATCACAGAATTATCAGGCACAGTCATTCGTCAAATTTGGAAAGGAGGGGGGGAATTATTCTTAATTCTGAAGTAGGAAGAGGAAGCGAAAGACCTGAGAACCAGAAAAAGGTCCTGTGTGGCACATTAATTCAGGAGCAGAATGGAGACAAAGGCAGGTGCTGCAGATCAGCTACAAAAAGGTACCTCTTTCCCCAAAATCCAGTTTGCCTCTCCTCTCCTCCACCATAAAAAGAAAAGAATGAGCAGAAACCAACTGATTAGTCTCAACAAAAGTAGACCTATTGGATCAACTGGTGGAGGATAGGTCATCACTTATTAAATTCCATTGACTCAATGGATCTTTTATTGTTGCTGTTGTTCCCATACTGTATCATTCATGTGTTGTTCTTGTTGTGTGCCTTCAAGTCTCTGCAGGATGACCAGATGTCCTAACTGCAAAGGAGGACGAGACACCACAAAACATCTAAAATTCAAGGAAAACGGAGGACATTCCACAATGAAAAACACTCTTATAAATGTAAATTCATGCTTCTTAATCATGCTCGAAATGGAAGACCTATTGAAATCCCTCCTGAACAGAGGGTTGAAATGTAGGACATGTCTTGGAAAAGGAGGACCTCTGGTCACCCTGAGTCATTTCCAACTTATGGCAACTCTAAGGTGAACCTATCACAGGGTTTTCTTGGCAAGATTTGTCCACAGAGGATTTGCCTTTGCCTTCCTCTTAGGCTGAGAGAGTGTGATTTGCTCAAGGTCACCCAGTAGGCTTCCATGGCTGAGTGGAGATTTGAACCCTGGTCTCCAGAGTTGTAGTCTAATGCTCAAACCACTATGTCACGCTGTCTCTCTTTTGTTGTTATGTGCTTACAAATTGCCCCCAAAGTATGATGACTCCAACTTAGAGTTTTATTAGCCAGATTTTTTCAGAGGAGGTTTGCCACTGTTTGCCTCTGAGGCTGAGAGAGCGTGACTTGCCTAAGACCACACAGTGGGTCTCAGTGGCTGGGTGGAGATCTGAACCCTGGCCTCCCAGAGTCTTAGTCCAACACTCAAAGCACTAAACCCTATCACATCCCATTCTTCAGAGGAGGTTTGCCATGATCTTCCACTGAGGCTGAGAGAGAGTGAACTTGCCCAAGGTCAACCAGTGTGTTCCATGGCTGAGCAGTCCTAATCCAATACTCAAGTCACTATACCACCCTCAATGGCTTCCCTAAATAGGTTTAGACATGACAAACAACGGGATCCAGGTTTCGATTTTTATATGCTTTTCAAATCCATTGGGGTCTTTCCACTCACTTGTAACCCCAACAATTTGTTGGACTACAACAATTTCCCATATTCGGAACAAAAAGCAACCAATAAATTCAGATCCTTGGCTGTTTTGAAAGTGGGGGGGGGGGGGGGGGGGGAATCAACACACTGCTATTAAAGCCAGTGTTGAGCTCATCCTCTTCTCTGTTCAGGCATTTATTTTATTTTATATTATTTTTTGCTGCCGCCCCACAACATGTTTGAGCAAGCACCGGGACACAAACATGTCCCATACAGAACGGATTGGTTGCAGATGTTCTCCCGGCAAGCTCCGTCTTGCCTCTTGCGAGAACATTCATCTCCAAAACACACCGTTTCACCTACATCGCCCACAGCTCAAATTCAGAGCACAGAGGAGAAAGCAAAGAAATATATATTTATTAAATGAATTCTTTTTTCCTTTTTTTTTTTTTTTTGTTGATGAACCTACGAACCTCACAAACTCTCTTGACGAACCTACAAAAACATGCGAGGCCAAGAGAAGGAAAAAGCATCTTGTCCTCCGAACCCGGACCAAAAACAACAATATCCGTTCACCTCTTATTGTGGTGTAGAGGGTGGCGGCAAACTACAACTCCCAGGGAGACCTAGAATCAAAGGCTGGTGCCACTTCCTCCAACCTGGCACCCACTACATCTGTTGGACTACAACCTCCACTAACCATCCTTGCTGGGAATAGCACTGACTGCCTTCATGTGCAAAGATCCTCCCATGTACTGAACTGGACCAACCAGTCCATCAAACAAAGATTTTAACAGACTGGTCATGAACTTGGAAAGGATCCCAAAGGTCATGTAGTCTAACCTGACACAGGGAAATCCAACCTTGTGGCAGTCTTAATATGTTGCCAAGTGGCTACCCTACTGGAAACCATCAGATGCAGGATACCCAATCTCTGCTCACTTCTGATTCAATTTCTTCTTGGATAGTTCTCATAGATAGATCTGGTCCCCATTGCATGCCTCAGATAGACAGATCTTGTCCCCATTGCATGCCTGCCCCTTACTATCTATCCCTCAATCATGGAATTTCTCTACAATGGAAAATCTGGATGAAGACCCTAGAAATGTTCCAGAAAAGGCAGATCCACAGAACAGTTATAGGATGGGAGACACATGGCTCAGCAGTACTACAAAGGAGCTTGGGATTATTGTTGATCATACACTGAATGTGAGCCAGCAGTGTGATGCTGCAGCAAAGAACATGAATTCTATTTTAGCCTGCATTAGTAGAAGCGTAGTCTCCAAGTTGAGGGAAGTAATAGTAGGACTATATTCTGCACTGGTCAGGCCTCATCCGGAGTGCTATGTCCAGCTCTGGGTGCCTCATTTTAAAAAGGGTGAAGATAAGTTGGAACAGATTCGGAGAAGGGCAGCAAGGATAATACATGGTATGGAGAACAAAAGGTGGAAGGAGCAGGGCTTAAGGAGTGATTGCACCCTTTAGATGTCTAAAGGGCTGCCCCAGAGAAGAGGGAGAAGGCTTGTTCTCTGCTGCCCCGAAGAGTAGGACCAGGCCTAATAATCTGTTACAGGAGAGTAGATTTCAATTGAATATAAGAAGGAACGTCTTGATGGTAAGAGTGGTCCGGCAATAGAAGCAATTGCCTAGGGAAGTGGTGGAGTCCCCTTCTCCAGACATCTTCAAAAAGAGGCTGGGCAGCTCCCAGCTGGGGATGCTTTAGCTGGAGATCCTGCATTGAGAAAGGGCTTTTGGCTTTTGGGGAACCCTCCCAACTCAATGACTATGATGCTATGACCCCAAGAACCCATATCAGGAAATGGAAAATTCATTTCGTCATGCAGTATTCCTAAGCACATAAAAATACTTTTTGTCAGAGCTTCCCAACCCAGTAATTCACTCTCTCTTTGCAGAAGACAGTCTACAGACAGTGAAGGGATGGATGAGTCAGTGGCTAAAGGAAACACAGTTCTCTTTCCCATGATGTCCAAAAGACATCGTGGGAAAGATGTCATTGCTGAGACGTCATTGATGTCATTGCTGAGACGCATGGTAACTGATGCTGTTATATCATGGACTGCCATGTTAGAGGATTGCTCCAGTCCTACACTGTCATTGATTATGGAATCACAGAATGATAGAGCTGGAAGAGATTCCAAGGGTCATCCAGTCCAACCCCATTCTACCATGCAGGAAGACACAATCCAAGCATCCACAACAGATGGCCATCCAATCTCTGCTTAAAAACCTCCAAAGAAGGAGACTCCACCACTCTTCATGGCAGCGTCTTCCACTGTTGAACAATCCTTACCATCAGGGAGTTTGTCCTAGTATTTAGGTGGAATCCCTTTTCCTGTAGCTTGAACCCACTGCTCTATGCCCTAGTCTCTGGAGCTGCAAAAAACAAGCTTGCTCCATCCTCAATATAGCATCCCTTCAAATATTTAAACATGGTTATCATGTCACCCCGTACCCTTCTCATCTCCAGGCAAAACATCCCCAGCTTCCTAAACCACTCCTCAGCAGGCTTGAAGGTTTCCAGATGTTTCCCCATTTTGGTCACCCTCCTCTAGACACACTCTACCTTCTCCACATCCTTTTTGAATTGTGATGCCCAGAACTGGACACAGTATCCCAGATGAGGCCTGACCAAAGCAGAACAGAGTGGTACTATTACTTCCCATGATCTAGACATGATACTTCTCTTGATGCAGCCTAGCATCTCATTGGCCTTTTTAGCTGCTGCATCACACTGATAACTCATGGTCAACTTGTGGTCTACTAGGATTCCTAAATCCCTTTTGCATGTACTGTCATCAAGCTAGGTGTCCCCTATCCTATATCTGTGCATTTCGTTTTTACTGCTGAAGTTTAGCATCCTACATTTCTCCCAGATGAAAATCATTTTGTTAGTTTTGGTCCATCTTTCTAATCTGTTAAGGTCATTTTGAAATCTGATCTGGTCCTCTGGGGTCTTAGCTATTCCTCCTAATTTGGTATCATCTGCAAATTTGATAAGCATGCCCTTTATTCCATCATCCAAGTCATTGATAAAGATGTTGAAAAGCACTGATGTTAAAGTTAGCTTTCTAACAGAAATGATGCAAAGCTAGAATGAATGAACTGGAATGACAAAATGGGAATCCATCTACTTCCATTTCATGTCTGTTTTGTACAATTACTCATACTCTACATCTATTTCATCCCATTTTCTCTTAATCTTTCTTTTAAAAATGCAACTTGGCAATCATGTTAAACATATCTCCTTCCTTTGTATGCCTTTCCCCTTCAATACATATTTTGGAACTCCAAGATTTATTGCAACAATCAAAACTTCTCAGAAGTACAAATTCAGAAGAATAATGGCATTCCAATCCACAAATTAGTCCAGGAAGCACAAATTAGGTCAATAGTTTAAAAACAAGGACCACACAAAATTCTTTGTTGTCATTGGATCAAGTAGCTTCTGACTTATGGTGACCCTAAGGCAAACCTATCACAATGTTATGCGGGGCTGAGAGTGTGTGATCTGCCCAAGGTCACCCCATGGGTTTCCAAGGTGAATTGAATCCTGATCTCTAGAGTCCCCAATGCTCAAGCCACTACAAATTGACCAAAATTGGCTAAAATAAATATTGGCTAAAATAAGCAGTGCATACTGTTGGTCTAGTAGTTGGACTATGATTCTGGAGACCAGGATTCAAATCCCTGCCCAGCCATGGAAACCCACTGGGTGACCTTGGGTGAGTCACATACTCTC